CCCCCCACCCCCTTCCACGTGGGCGGTTGTGATGTTATCGCGATAAGTACGCTTCGGAAAGTCCACTTTGATAGTATATTTACACTTGCATTTATAATTGAATTTACATTTAAACCTCAATTATATCCTTATTATCAATTTTCACTGTTTTTCCAAAGCTTACCATATCTCAAGTCAGTTATAGAAATAGGAAAAATAAAAAAATAAAAACCAAATAATAAAAAATAAAAATCCAATTTCCCACAAAGTGTAAAAGAACTTAATCCCCCAAACAGAGAGCCCTGATTTTGGTAGCCTAGGCTGTATCAATGTTTCCGCCTTTATCTATGAGGCCATGATCGTACCTACGCACCAAAAAAAACTTCCTGTATCTTATTGTTTGCCAAAGTATGCGGTCTGATTTCTCTGGGGCAGATCTTTCTTGAGCTCAAAGCACGAGGTAAGTTACACCGTGACCTCGCCTATTGGGAGTACACGCTGCAAGAGGTCAGCAAAGATGTGGACGATATCTGCCTATCATCTTTCGCGTCCCCTCCCCATCTTTTAATATAATCTGTTTCATAAAAGTAGACCTGAAGCGAAAAAGTGTTGGGTCGATTATTTGTTCGGAAAATGGCTTTCTTTAATCATGAGTGTCTCTTTAATCATTTGCAAATGCAGCTCCTCATACATTTTCCGATGTTTTGAAAAATAGGAAAGGTTCCTGAGGTTGAAAAGAGGCTTTTCTGAAGACTTTTCAAGCATTCAAGCCATTTAGAGCATTTAAGCACGGTATTTGTGTGAAAGGCAGTGATTTCTTTTCATATAAAAGTGAAAGTTCAGAGTTTATTGCGGTTTTGGCTGGATCGTCGGATTCGTTGCGCAATCCAAGAAGAACTGATCCATGAATAGTCCCGCTGCTAACTTACGGATTCATAGGTACAGTAGTACTTGTATAACAGCCATGCAGAAATTTGAGTTGATCCATTCATGTTTCAGTTATTTCTGCTGTTCATATTATCAACAAGCTTGCCGAATTGGCTGCTCTTTCTCTACATGTACGAATAAATTGTGTTGAGCCATGGCCTTTACTAATACACGGAATTGTGATATTCTAATCGAATTGCCTTCGAATAGATATAGCAAAAGATAGGGTTTTTGCTCCAATCAATTCCGTTTTGAGATGCGCCATTACATTCGACCTTTACGGGAATCGTAGTGGCGTTTCGAATGCCGATCTGGGGTTCGAACCCCTGACCGTGCGCGTGTGATATAGTGCGCCACTTGCCACTACACCACCTTCGAGCCTCGTATAATATAAAACCTAAATGATCCTGAGGAGATGGGAGGCTAAGCGTTCATCAATCTGGAATTCTATCCCAAACCATGCGTGGTATAGAGTGTATACTGTCGCTACTCCACCTCTGACCCAGACCAAAATGTTTGAAGGTTATTGTTCAGTTAAAATTTTGCAAATCGGAATTCTGATTCTACAAATTGAGGAGACCTAAGTTCTATGTTCTCTCATCTTAGAACCTCGGCATTGCTGTTGTTCTTGAAAATGTTAGTTTTGCTTCTGCCTCGAGGGCCCGTCGAAACGTTGGCCAAAATAAAGATTTCCACCTAACAACCTCGAGGCAGAAGCAAAACTAACATTTTCAAGAACCTAAGTTCTATTATTTCTACAGATTGTGCGTTCTTTACTCCAGAAAACCTTCCTTCTTATCTTATCGTTGTCTCTGTTGTTCGCACAATTTTTGTGCATGATAGTGTCACCGATTTTGCAGTTTAATCAAAGTCTGGACATGGTACGAAGTAAATATGAAGGAGAAGATTTCTACTTAAGTTGGAAATTCGTTACTAGCTTCTGTTCCTTACTTCGATTACTCTACCCACGATTTGAATACGTAGCAATCTTAACTATTTGTACGCTCATTGCTGCCGGAGGATGTGAGTGATTTCATTTGGATTTCCGTTTTCCATTGCAATTTTTTGCTCGATTTCCTTTTTATTTCATTTGTCGTTCGAATCACTTTTTTACTTTACTTTATACTTTTACTACTTACTTTACTTTAATCACTCTCCCCCACTTTAATCACTCTCCCCCATACACGTAATTGGTTTCTTCATTGCAAAAACAAAAAAAAAAGACACTTCTACAGGACTAATTCCTTATATCTACTTTTTTTTAGAGAGACCATTTATATGATAAATGTAGTTGGAACGTGGTGCCATCAGGGAAATAGTTTAGATTTGAAATTTGAAATCCAGAAAAAAAATGCGAAAATCTAAGCGGTTGTGACGCTTTTTGACCGATTCCGTTTGAACGGGCATATTAGTCGAAGTCGGACTGTGATATTATTATTGTGAGCGAATGCATGGCTTAATCTTTTGACCGATGCCGAGGGTCTAGTGCTTATAATGCTTTTGATATATGCTTTATATTAAGCGCGTTCTTTTCTGTTATAAGAAGATTTTTTCTAGAAGCCTCTTTGCCTTTGTCACATTTCTGTCATTATATTAAGCGCGTTCTTTTCTGTGATAAGAAGATTTTTTCTAGAAGCCTCTTTGCCTTTGTCACATTTCTGTCACTTCCTGAGCACCTCGACAAACTTCTTCTTTTGGCATTTGCTCGTTTTAATAAAATCTAACAAAAATACAAAACAATCCAATACCTAATGTTGGCTTCTTAGATCGTAGTGTTTCGAATGTCCCCATTGCTATCAATAATTCAGATGAATTTGTCAGCTATCATTCTGGTACAATCATCGGTGACTTCTATATGGCCTTACAGGAAAAGAATGAATCGTATTTCTGGAATCTGTTTTGGAAAGCTACGCTCATTTATTTGGGACAGTGCCTGGTGAGATCATATAGAAAATAAATTGCGACGGTCCAGAAAAGACTAAGTACAATCATCGGTAACTAAATACTTAATTTCGCCTTCAACACTTATGTTCACAATTCAGTCCCACACCCCTTTTTGCCTTCTTCTCCCTTACCTTACTGCAATGAAGCCTGTCTCTAATGTATTCAAACTCACGAGAATAGTAATTTTTAAAACAAGAAGGAAGGATGAGGTATTAGTAACAATTCGGTACCCACTTTGGTTCTTCCTCGAACTCTTTGAAGTCCTCCAGCTGACTAAACTGTGTTCTTGTAAAGTACGTACGCAGTTTAGTCAGCGGTAGGGAAAAACCTCGAAAAAAAAAGACTCCTGTTCTCCACAGAGCCACAAAAATACATTTGTACCAATAGGAGCAGCACGTAGGAGAGGGAAATCATCACTATGCTTATAGTCTATCTTCCATCATGGTTTCTTCTTCAGCTTCTAGCCTCAACTACATTTCTTACATGGTTATTGTATATTTGTATGCGAAAGAATCTAGTGGATGCACTTCATAAGATGTATTTCCGCAAAAACGCCTACTATCAATTGAATTCCGTTGATAACGTTGGAATCGATAATCCGTGAGTTGAAGACATTTAATTAGACGTTGGACTCGGTAGAGAAGTGTTACATTCGGAGGCATTTCGATGACCGAAAAGGCAGCTATAACCCCTAAGCGATTTTTATGGAAAGTAGTCTCAATTTTTTTGTTTGAGACAAATCAGGGAAGTTTCTAAACACTCCGTAACTAGGGAAGACGGGCGTTAGGAACGATTTTGAGTAATCGATTTACCGCACGCGGCTGTCGCGGACCACTCATTCGCAGTTATTACAGCTCTA